TCCTAGTCATGGATTTCTCTGATCTATGCTTTATATTCACCTTGTGATTACTGAAAAACTGAGTACTCTCCAGTAAATAGAATTTTCTTTTATTACAATAATTGGCTGAATAATGAACTCTTGAGATATATATCCTTATTTGATCTACTTTAAGGGTCATTATTGAATATAGTTAATTCATTGTTCATTTTTTTAAAAAAATATTGAAATTCCTGCCATATTTGGTTTTGTTGTGTGTGTGTGAGAAAGAGAGCAATAGACTGCTTGGTGCTATGCTAAGGTCATCAAAACAAAATTCTTTTTACTGGTGATATACCAATCTAGTCATCATTTGTTGAGACAGCTCTAATTTCCTCATCATAATGTTACTTATTTTTTTGGATGTCATCAACATCAGCTTTTTCATATTCTTAACAGGATGAATGGCGAAAAGGCCTCAAATGTTTAGGGGCTGACACACTCCCAAAATTAAGAAAGGCTATTAATGGACTGAAGAAAGAGGTATTTTTTTTAAGTTACTTAGTAAAGTTCTCTTGCATTCTTATTTAGATGAGTCATTAACTATGGTTGTCCTCCAAGAAGATTATTGGTTCCCTGTGTCTTGGTTAGGTTACGATACCAGAGTGCTTTGAGGATTTTTATTCCTATGCATTTCAATACTGCCTAACAGGTAAAATTAATATTGGCAGGCTTTGACTTCGACTTCGACTTCACATATAATTTATATTTGTGGTTATACATCTCTGCTTCCCTGTTCTTGTATATCTCTGTGTAACTAAAATTGAGTAATACTTTCAGAAGATAAGCAAAGAAGTGTAGATATCGAGACCATCTGTGAACTGTTGAATGTTGTTCTGAGATCTGAATTCCCTACTCAAGTCAATTTATTAACCGAGTATCTAAAGGTGGGTAGGTTTTTATTTACCAATAATAATAATTTGTGTTTTTATGCTTCTCAGCTCTTTTTGCTTAAACTTTTTCAGTTGCATGTAGATTTGGGATAACGACTTTCAGTTTCAGTGATGTCTAGCAAGCATGCTGGATTGTAAAGAATGTCAATGTTATTTTCTCGTATTTAATTATTGTTCCACACAAACTATAGTTAGCACCTATATGAAGTTTTGTTTTCTTGTGCTATTCATGATCCAAAAATTATGTACATTCTTGAAATATTTTCCCATGGAAGGTCTATAATAGAAAATCAAACTACGGCAGAGATTTCCTTGTATGGTGCACACTAAAGTTGTGTTGTTTAATTGGAAGATGTTCAAAAGACTTTTAATGCCCCCATAGACATTAAACTATTTCTGACTGTTGATATACTTATTTGGCAGATCCAGAATGACTACAGGGCTCTAAACATAGATCACTGGAGAAATTTTTATCGGTTTTTTAAGGAGGTAGTTTCTATTTTTTCTTATGTTGCCTCACAGATTTTATATTACATACATTTTTCGCTTCTGGTTGAGTTTACTATTTGATTGTGAGGTTAATTGAATATTGGTAAATATTGTACTTGCTTTATATATCAACCAAGTTTTATCAAATACTTAACGTCTTTAACTCAAATAATTTTAGAAAAACTAATTCATCAATGCTACAATGAAATGTCTAATTGTTCATGGAGTGTATTTATGTTATTTGTATAAATTGTACACTTGTACATTTGATTGGTGAAAGTTGGTGTGCTTCATTTTTAACCGCAAGCAAAATAAAAATAAAAATGTCTGACGTCTTGTTGCTGCCAGGTAAGCTTTACTGATCTTCGAAGTTATGACTCCAGTCAAGCATGGCCCGTGATCCTCGACAATTTTGTTGAATGGTTAAAAGAAAAAGAAGAGAAAATATAGTTCTCACCTTTCTCAAGTTTCAGTTCAATTTTAATCTGCCGACTCCGAACGAGAATACTGTTTGAAGCGGATATACAATTGTATATGGCTGATCTGAGTAATCAGTTCGCAGTTTTTCTGCAGAAATTGTTATGATTAATCCCATGTAAGTTGTAACAACAACTTCATACAGTGTCAACTGTCAAAGCTATATTCAGTTTTTCTGATCTGGAGATAATGTTTTAAGCAATTTTGTCTCTTACTGCTCGTTTATACATTTATATGTGGGTTAATCATTTCAGTTGCCAAACTTCCTCAATCTTTTATCCGTTTATTGATAGTCTTAACTACAAATAAAGTTAGTTTCTAGACGTTGGTGAGTAATCGATCAAGAAAGTCTTATATTTCTACCTGTGTCCAATGAGTAAAGGGTTTTCACATCTTTTGGACGGATGTGAATAAAACTAACTATTTTGGAAGTGTAACATAAAGTGTGTTACTTGAAATATTGGTATTTGACGAGTTTGTGTAGGTAGAAGACACCATGGTTTAAAAAAGGATTTATTGTGTAACTTTACGGAATTAAATTGGTAGGAGAAAAAGTTAAAGGAGCTAAGCATTACAGTTAGTACATTGAAAAGGTTAGAAGAGAGAACGAGTATTGTTGTAGACAAGGATTGAAAATAAAGTGATATATAAAGGATTGTGGTTATAAAATTAATGGTTGTATGAGAGTCTGTCATTATCACGAGTGTTTATGCACCATAAGTAGGATAAAAACCACTTGAACAAAAAAATATTGGGAAGATTTAGAAGAGTTGATTTAAGGTTTTCCAAAAGATTTATACATATTTTGGTATGAGGTAGAATTATTTACAAAAAGTCACAAAGCTTAAATAACTCTGGTTTTGGAGAACTAATTGAGGAAGAATAATATATTATTGATTTCTCTTGTCATTTTATAATTATGATTATTTGGTTTAAGAAGTGAGATTAATATCTAATCGCTTATTACAGTGGAAGTTCAAGTTCTTAATTTGATTTTTTCGTTTGTAAGAAGCACTTATAAAATACACAAATAAGATTTTATCTTTTAAGTTTGTTACGGTTGTTGGATTATGATAAGGTTATTTAAAGTTATATTAGTCTCATTTAATATTTTTAAAAAAATTATTGAAATACATATATAATATACCTTTAATAAATTTTTATAAAATATAAATTTAACTAATTTATTTCTTGAGTTATGTAATGTTATATTCATGAGCATATATATAAAATTTCACATAATTTAAACTTTTTTAGATATGTTATCTAATAATATTTTGTTACATATATTTTGAATATCATATTATGTTATAATAAAGTGATGCAATGAATTACAAAATAATTTTAGTATTGCACTAAAATTAGTATATTTAATTTAATTAATAAGAATATCAAATATAATAGTTGAATTAATTTTAATACATGATGTCAACAGATCCTAATATTGTATATATGGACTAAAATAGGAATTAGAAAGAGAGAAAGATCCTTTCCAATATGGTTATTTCCTAACTCAACTCTCTTAAGATAAGAAATTCATCTAATAACATAGGATAAAAGGTAATATGAGGTTATCATATAATATTGCAACTAACTAATTACAACAATAAAGAATGACTATTTTGCCCTATCACACCATTACAACTAACTGATTACAATAATATAAAATGAATATTGTCCTTGATCCAGAAGAGAAAAGGTGAAAAAAACAATAGAAATTAGTTAAAATGGATGTGGTTACACAATAAATATAAAAATATAAAATGATTGTATACAAAGAAATACTAATGTGACACATATTGAAAACACATATGACAAACAATCAAATTAGGGGATTTAGACATATAAAAAAAGTTCACCGTAAATTTGAAATACAAGAAGAGTAAATTACATTAATTTTTGGAGAATTTGATATTCATCTAAATTTACAATAAATCTCATCTAATACATTAATTTTAAAAATAGAAATATTTAATTCTTCTAATTTTATAAATATGAAATTTTGGTCTTTCTATCAAATTCACATCTATTAATTATTAAATTTTAATGTTTATATATCTTTAAATGATGTGACATCATTTAGTAACATAACACTTAGAAATAAAAAAAATCATGTAAATTATATTATAATAAAATAAATATCAATCACTTGTTAAAATAAATATATTAATATATTCTGTATGTTATTTTTTTTAATTTTTATTCTTATATGTCACGTTATTAAATATCACATTATTTAAGAGTAACAAGTTACCAAAAAGGTCAAAATTTAAGGATTAATAATATATCAAATTGATAGTAGATCAAAATTTCATATTTTTAAAATAGAAAAATTAAATGTCTCTATTTTAAAATAAAGAAATTAAAATTGCGACTTAACAAAAATAAAATGATCGAAATTGCAACTTAATTTACTTTATTATTGTTATTTCCATGTATTCAAGGTATTTTTACCATAGTTGTTCAACCTATTTTTGGTCGCTAATTATATTTATACCTATTATAAAGGATATATATATATTTTGATAATCACTTTTTTGGTCTCTATTTTTTAATAGACCATTATATCATTGAATGTAAAAAAAAAACTTATACCATTTTTAAATAACGATATTTGTCTGTGTATAACTATTAGACGTACGAAGTGCCTCGATCTCTATAGAAAATAAATAATGGACATTAATCAACAAACAATTAAGATGAGTTTAATGGCGAGAGATTCGAATAAAACTAACAATGTTTTAGGTTCTAATCTTGTTTTTGTCATTGTACATAGGTAAAAATAAATATTATAAAGTGAGAAGTATTAAGAACTATTTTGATTAAACACTCTTTTATATATTAAAAATAATAAAATTTGTATGTCTTACATGTTATTAATGATTTTATTGATTTTGTAATTTGTTAGCACTTCTCTTAAGTAATATTTTTTTATGGACATGATTTACGTAATATTTAAAAATTAATAATTAAAAATTAATATGTGTTTATGAAACATAATTTTTATTAGTTAAATATTATTTTAATGTATACAAGAATCAAATTTATTATTACCATAGTCATCCAAGTTTGATTTATGGTTTAAAGAGGCAACTTATGGTTGAGTAAAAGTTTTTACTCACAATCCATTAAAATGAAAAGCCTTTATGCAAAAGGAAGGAAATCTTTTCCCCTTCCATGTTATACATGGGATATCGGTGAAAAAGAAATCATTTGCTGAATGAAGGCATTGCCAACTACTTGTGTATTGTCTATACAATAAATTCAATTATTTGAGGTAAAAGAAAAAAAAAGAGATAACCCAAAAACATGAAGTGATGAATGTCAACTTTCAGTTCACTCCTCCATTCGCATTAATGCAAAACATCCACGAATTCAGAGCTGCATTTTTTCAATGAAATGGCATCAGTTAGTTTGGTAAATATTTTTATGAAAAATGTAATTTTATTCACACCAGGCATGAGTTTCCTTTACCTTGTGTTGAGATTTTCCAATCGTCAGTGTCGAGGCCCGCGGCCCAAAAGAAATACCCACGAAGCGAAAGGGCCTGAGCAAACCCAACCTTAACCGCCACTGTAACCGAGTCATCGTACCCGACCCAATAACTCCCACTATACGAATAAACCGACGCCGTTTCCTTGTCATACACAATACTCGCACCCGTTTGGTTGTTAAATTCCAACACTTGAAAGAGAGCCATAGCACCATCCAACCCGGGACCCGGCCCAACAACCGGAGCCCCGATTCCATGCACATTCGGGTCACGTAACTGCCACGTCCTCCCATATAGCGGCAAACCCATCACCACCTTGTTGGGACTAACCCCACCCTGGATCCACGACCGTAACCCAAAGCCCACACTACCGTTACTCTTCGGGTCAAAAAGCCCAGCAGGAGGCCCAGTACGGTTACTCCACGGCCCTTTAAGATCGTAACTCATAACGTTCACCCAATCCAAATTATCGTTCATGGAACCCACCGGGTACCTCAACGACGTCGTTTCGGACACAAAATAGTCGACTGCGAAGTACACGGCGGCGGTCAGCAGGAGCGGTTTCCGCCCGGTGGCGGCGGCCTCGGCGGAAATCGCGGCGCGCCACTCCGCGAAGAGTTTCCCCATGTCGCTCATTTGGCTGGCTGTTCGGGGGAACTCCCAGTCCAGGTCAACGCCGTGGAACCCGAAGGCTCGCGCGACGGCGATGGTGGAGTTGATGAAGGTGGCGCGCGCGGCGGCGTTGGAAGCGATGGCGGCGAAGAGGGTGGCGTTGGTGGTGGCGCCGCCGATGGAGATGAGGGCGGCGACGGTGGGTGGAAAGGTGGCGGTGAACGTTGCGAGGGCTGCGGCGGTGGTGTTTGAAAGGTGGAGTTGGTAGGTGGCGTTGTTGGGTGCGAGGAATGCGTAGTAGACGTGGGTGAAGAGTGATGTGTTTATGGCTGAAGGAGGGAAGAGTGGTTGTTCTAGCCAGTATAATGCTTTTATGTCATTTGCGGCGGGGTTTTCTAAAAACGTTTGTTGAAACAAACAAAAG